AAGCATGTAGCAAGCTTTTGCGAGCATGAGTTTTTCCGCGCAAGTGTTGTCCTCACCGCAGGTGCACCATATTAGCCCAAAATTCTACAAAGTGCGATTTTGCTGTTTTAGAAAAACGATGGCGACTCCGAGGAAAAAGTTGTTACGGAAGCAAAAAAGGAGCTGAAGCGAAAACGCACTGAAGATGCGCATGGAAATGTCTCTGAATCGGTAGTCTCCGAAAAGAAGGTGAAACTTGAGGGACCATTAAAATTGGCAATAGATCCTACATCCCTGGCAGCCAGGAAGGAAAAGAAGAAGCAGCTGCTGAAAGAGAAGTTGAAGGAAGGACTACCGCTCACAGAGCTGATTGGGAAAGGTATAAACGATTTGATTGGAACAAAGGAAGAAGAAATTCACGAAGTCAAAGAGGAAAAGCATCATAAGGAAACTGCAAGCGGAGGAACAGAAACTGTCAAGAAAAAGAAAAAGAAAGTTAAGGTATGCCTTCACCAATACAGATTTTCTTTATTGAAGCTAGCCGTCCTAAATTTCATTTTCAGAAGAATGTAAAAGTGGTGAAACCAGTCGTTGCTCCGAAGAAGCACCAGCAGTCCTCCTCAGAACCACCTGCACCGCTTGAAACTGATGAAGACAAAGCTGAAGCAGATGCTTGGGAGGAAGACAAGGGAAAGAAGAAGAAGAAAATGAAGAAGAAGACTAAGGACAACCAAGCTAAGGAAGAAGATGATAAGGCCGAGCTAAAAAAGAAGAAGCCAAAGAACAAATTTGAACCAGTAAAGGAAGATGAAACTGAAAAAGGAGAAGAAGGTGAACTCTCATCTTTCTGATTTATCACTTTGCGTTCAAATGGACATTTCCAGCGTCGCAATCAAGCTCAGCTCAGCAACCACGGCAGAATCCACGAAAATACAACGAACTACTCGAGAAGCTAGCCTCAATTACAAAAGAGGGAGAGGTATGGGTCAAACTTTTCCACAAAAACCCTCAACATTTGGTGTCATTATAGTCTTCTATATCACTTTTTTCTCCTACCTTGCAGAAAAGAGGTCTGTCTGAATGATATAGATTTTTTGAACCTTCTGCATGATTTTTTCGGTAAATTTTCAGATTTCTGACAGCTCATATTACTGGAATTCTCTTATCTCTCCTGTTCGTCTTAGCTTCATAAAAATTTGAGATTTTCTATCAAATCAGTGATTGTCTTATTTACAGGTTCGCCAAGCCATATCCGCTGAAATTAAAGCTGGAAAGCTTGAGGAAATGGAACTCATGACTGTGTTAAGGATGTGGAGACAACAAAAGCGGAGAAAGGTGAACTTTCCGCCAAAATTTACATTTTCCTTTCACTAGACCTATGTTTCAGATGATAGCTGAAAATAAGGAAAAACTTGTGCAAATGGAAGGGTCTCTGGAAGAGATCAAGGCATGTTTTTCCACTTTTGTTAGTATGCTGCAAGCTCAGAATCTTTCTTGACACCAGCCGCTAAAATGATTCAAGACTGGAAATTTTTCGAAGTGAAATCAACTTTTTCCAGAAAATTGTGAATGATCATGTTCGGAAGGGAAAGCTGAATCCGAAGGACGCAGGTGATATCATTAAGCGATGGAAAGTTCGAGAGAAGCGTCGAGTTGAGCGACAAGTATCAAAACAGACGTGAGCCAATGAATATTTGATTTGGTTGTTTTTCTTGATTTCAGTAATTTTCTTTCTTGCATTTACGTCGTGAATACCACTGTCTAGGCTTGAATCTGAATTTCGAATTTTCTTTTTCATTTTGCTATCATCATATCATTTTTACCAGTTTTACATCTACAACTATTTAAAGATATTTAGTGGAAGAGCATGCTTCCATTGCCGTCAGCCTGGCCATGTCTTGGCAGATTGCCCAAATCGCGGTGATGATAATC